TCCCCGCACTCCCTCATCTCTTGCAATAGTCTTGTAGGCATCCAGGCTGCCCATTGTACCTCTTCCCAACATCGGTCAGTCGTACCTGAGCTTGGAAACGCACCTTCACCACATCTGTCGGTTGTGCAAAAGCCACACCCATGGTGCCWGTGGTATAGCCTGCCATGAACCGAACAACAATCCCAGCATCTGTGCAACAAGGATGTCGGCGTCAGTGAGGAAGCAGAGGAACCTCATTCATGAGAGACGATGAATGTGTTAAATTCACTCAGTGCCTCAGGTGTAGAACTGCTTCATGGAGTCATAGAGGCCGATCCGAACTGAGGCGAAGCTCATCTGCCTCTGGAGTCCTGCCACCAGCCCGTTGTAAAGACWCCTGGCTCCCTCGGTGCGCACCATGGTGGTGATGGTGGGTGCCGAACACTCCCCGGTACTTCATGGCATCGGAACCTTTYGCTTTCTGAGATTCGCCCTGAATCTGTTAAATACATTGAGATTCTTAGAAACCGTCACAAAAACAATCTACAACTAAATTTGGGAACCTCTTTAAAGCCGTTCTTCTAACCTGAAGCCTGACTTTGGCTGTATCCAGTGGAAATGTGATGAGGTCAGCGATGCAAGCTGCTGTGCCAGCCCCAAAGAACTTAATCCCCGCGGAGGGCATCATCATATCAGTCGGTTTSACAACCATTTTCACGTCTGGATTTAACGCACAAATGGAACGATTTTCTCTTAATGCTATTCGCTTTTGGGGTAAAATACCCCACACTAAGGAAGTTAATTTCTCAGTGGCAATAGAAACTTGTTGAGATGTTGTGCATTCCTGTGAGGAACTATATTAACAGATATCAAGTTTTCTCAAGAAGCAGGTTGGTTTTTGGAAGGGGTTCTGTGGTGGAAATGCCTTCGGCCATAAACTTGATCTGAAGCGAGCCGGCCAGCGTAACACGTCTCACTGAAAAAGCAACTATATTTACTGATTTTTCAACCACAGATTTTAATCAGAAGGTGATTTACACCAGTTCAATTTACATTTCACGTGTTTTAACTTATTTGTTTAAACTGATGGAAAACTTAATGCCTACCTTAATCGTTTTCCGGAGAATTATATTCCAGTAAAAAGGAAGCAGAATGCAGTAATTTGTGCTATTTGTCCAGTGAGTATTCTTGACTGATGCTTCTCTCACTGTCTGACAGTGGAAGGAGCCCCTGAGTTTAGACCCCATTTGCACATGACTCACTGGCAGCCATTGAGTTGTTGACACCTGTTATTTGACTGTCGTGTACCAGTCTGTGACACAGACCGATATTTGAGCACTTGTTGACCTGTGCCTGCGTTGTCGTCATGCAGTTCTTGGAAGGCTGATCACGGATAAATGTTTTGAAAATTTAGTGTCATTTTGCTGGGTTTTTTCCCACTAACTTTTCACTTACCGGTAATTGCACCATAAYGCATGGATGTAATTTATGTTTTAAACCAAAGTCTGGTCTTTACAGAAAATTTCCAGATTGACTACTAGCATGTAGATCGCATTACGAGGACACAGAGTGTACCCCGTTGTTCTGTTGGTTGATATATACAGCCAAACAAACTGRGAGGTGCGTCTGATTCCTATAAGTGTTCTCACGAGGCATTGGGCTGGCTGTTTGGACTATCATTATATGTACTTATCATTAAGTTTATGCCCAAGAACCAATGTCAAGACTTCATCAGGGGTGCAAAGATCTCCTCCCTCCTCCCT